GACAGAGTACTGTCTACCGGAGACACAACAGTGTACGGTCTACCGGAGACATAACAATGTACTGTCTACCGGAGACACGACAGTGTACTGTCTACCGGAGACACAACAGTGTACGGTCTACCGGAGACATAACAATGTACTGTCTACCGGAGACACGACAATGTACTGTCTACCGGAGACACAACAGTGTACGGTCTACCGGAGACACAACAGTGTTCTGTCTACCGGAGACATAACAGTATACGGTCTACCGGAGACATAACAGTGTACTGTCTACCGGGAACACGACAGTGTACTGTCTACTAGATACACAACAGTGTACGATCTACCAGAGAGACAACAGTGTACGGTCTACCGGAGACACGACAGTGTACGGTCTACCGGAGACACGACAGTGTACTGTCTACCGGAGACACGACAGTGTACGGTCTACTGGAGACACGACAGTGTAGTGTCTACCGGGGACACAACAGTGTACTGTCTACAGGAGACACGACAGTATACTGTCTACTGGAGACACGGCAGCGTACGGTCTACAGGAGACACGACAGTGTACGGTCTACTGGAGACACGACAGTGTACTGTCTACTAGAGACACGACAGTGTACTGTCTACCGGAGACATAATAATGTACTGTCTACCGGAGACACAACAGTGTACGGTCTACTGGAGACACGACAGTGTACTGTCTACTAGAGACACGACAGTATACTGTCTACTGGAGACACAACAGTGTACGGTCTACTGGAGACACGACAGTGTACTGTCTACTGGAGACACGACAGTGTGTACTGTCTACTGGAGACGCGACAGTGTATACTGTCTACTGGAGACACGACAGTGTACGGTCTACTGGAGACACGACAGTGTACTGTCTACTAGAGACACGACAGTATACTGTCTACCGGAGACACAACAGTGTAGAGTCTACTGGAGACACGACAGTATACTGTCTACAGGAGACACGACAGTGTGTACTGTCTACCGGAGACACGACAGTGTGTACAGTCTACTGGAGACACGACAGTGTGTACTGTCTACTGGAGACACGACAGTGTGTACTGTCTACTGGAGACACGACAGTGTACTGTCTACTGGAGACACGACAGTGTTCTGTCTACTAGAGACACGACAGTGTACGGTCTACTGGAGACACGACAGTGTACTGTCTGCTGGAGACACGACAGTGTACTGTCTACCGGAGACACGACAGTGTGTACGGTCTACTGGAGACACGACAGTGTACGGTCTACTGGAGACACGACAGTATACTGTCTACCGGAGACACGACAGTGTACAGTCTACTGGAGACACGACAGTATACTGTCTACCGGAGACATAATAATGTACGGTCTACCGGAGACATAACAGTGTACTGTCTACCGGAGACACAACAGTGTACGGTCTACTGGAAACACGACAGTGTACTGTCTACTGGAGATACGACAGTGTACGGTCTACTGGAGACACGACAGTGTACAGTCTACTGGAGACACGACAGTATACTGTCTACCGGAGACATAATAATGTATTGTCTACCGGAGACACAACAGTGTACGGTCTACCGGAGACACGACTGTGTACGGTCTACCGGAGACATAACAGTGTACTGTCTATCGGAGACACAACAGTGTACTGTCTACCGGAGACATACCAGTGTACTGTCTACCGGAGACATAACAATGTACTGTCTACTGGAGACACGACAGTATACAAGACACACTTCAGTATATGGTCGCGACCATGATTAGAGACTTTGTACCTGAGTGATATATAATGTGTCACGTTAATACCTCCTTTTCTAACCAGAAAACACCAAGACGTTTGTCACATCTTTAATATACAAAGGAAGTGCTTATAGAAGGTCTTACGGTGCCGTCTGCTCTTACATTTGATTGTTTGGTAAACTATGAGTCGGATGGCTCTCGGAAATAAAGAAACTGAACTGAAACTGGTGTCTCTTTGGTTCGCCTATTTTCTTGTCCTTTTGCTGCAAATTGAAGCGTTGTTATTATGGATTTTTTTTATCTTTATTTATTCTAACTTTAAACACCATTTACCACAGTGCCTGGAACTAACTTTGCACTAGTATATGAGTTTACAACTATCAATAGCTTGTAACGGGCGATTTTTTCAAAGTGCCGACATCGTCCGGATGATATTTTTATAAATGTCCTAAAAGACATTAATTGAACCCATTTAAAATGTTTCCCACTTGAACCGAAGATCAAAAACAACATTAAAGATTTAATATAGATGTTTTACGATATATTGACCCTGTTGAAAACTATTTCATGGATGTATATCACATGCAGTAGATACAAAATGTAAAGTGAAGAGTGACAAGGATATGTATTCAAGTGTCCGTTTGTGTGACCATATCGCCATGTTCACGAACGTTCATTATTTTCCTTTAGCAAACTAATCTCGTGGAGATTAGCCTTAACTTCAGCGGGGTCTTCCTTAAAATAAAAGTGTAATTCCAATAGATTAGGAAACGTTCATGAAACCACGTGTTATTTGGGTATGACGTTCCTTGAACACCAGGGGTGCATTCGTTTATCGCTATTCAAACTGTTGGACCGGTTGGACCAGTGTTGTTCGTTTATGAAATAAGTTCGGAACTAGTAATCTGATGCTGCTTACATGCTGCGGGCCTTGATAAAGCCTTGCATGGCCTGTATATGCAGTTCTGCCAGGATTTTTATCCAAAAATGTTGTACATTCGCATAAACGAATAGGCCCAACATGGTGTATAAGACCAACGCTGTAAAAATGTCGAGAATACCAATATTATTAACAATTCACACCCTCCCCAACCAGCTAGGTAATGAGTTATCCCCTAAACAGATGTTGTGAAATAGCTGGTACTACGCTACTCCTGTGGTCGCCACATAACACTAACGCCTTTCACTCGACTATGACTTGGTTTACGACACTTATGTTTGTATAAGGTACGCAGGCTTTATAGCGTTGTGACACGTTTGATACGGATATTGATATCAGGGCCCAGTTGTTCAAGAAGTGGTTATCTTAATCACCGTTTAACGACATTTTTCAACCTTTTAATATTTTCGTCAATATATAAGGTAAAATCTCACAACTTTGCATGTAAATTCACTCTACTAAATATTTGATATCTGAAGAGTTGTAAACACACATGAAGTATAATCAGCGCTAATCACTGATGACGCTAATAATCTTTTGAACTAAGGGGCCCTGATCGCAAATGAAAAAAATAGCATCAGTTCCATATATTAATACAAACTCGTCTACTGACGACATGGTTCACATTCCTTTTATTTCGTGTTGTCGAAATATTATTTAATTCTCTATAACGAAAAATTAAAACGTTTAGTGACATCTCGTAATAATTGAATAAAAGAAGTGTGTAGCATGTCAGTAATTGGACTCCGTGTCTATATAACATAGGTCATAAGGTTTGTGATGCCCCCACTAGGGATTGAACCCATGACCTCAGATTTACTAGTCTTACGCCTTAATGAATGAGCTAAAGAGAGGTGTAACCGAAGCCATTAGTTTTCCAATGCCTCCACTAGGAATCGAACCCGAGACCTATGGTTTACTACTACAAGTTGTCTTGTGCTCTATCGAATAAGCCAGAGACATTCTCCCTAGCCGAGTTGGCAGGAAGCGGCTAGTATTTTATCAGGGCGACATCTGTTATTATTATGTTACATTTATAACCTACCTCACCCCCTTTTTTCGATTTCCAAATATATAATAAAAACAAAAGTACGCTGTCTTTCAAATTTACACAAACAATCCCTGTTTTGTGTGGTTAACAAAACAATCTTTATCTGAACTACGTACCAGGAATACAATGTACAATATATACATTCCATACTTGACTCAACACGTTAGTAATACAAGTGGGCTTACACACCGGCGGTTTAATGTTCTGTTAATGAGTAACTATATATGTTCAATACTGTTTTGTGAACTATTTGGGACATTTTTATAGCATATATGAAATTAAATTAAATGAAGAAGAAATTGTGTCAGCGTTTTCCAATATAAACTGTTGCGTGAGAGATAGTAATTACTGTGATCACATGTGTTAGTAATTTTTTTATTTATTCACGTTACATGAACTTAATATCATAACCAGCATTAATAACTTCTGGGATACATAACAGGGGCTGGAGATGTTCATAGCTTCCATGATTTTTTTTATGATCGATACATGTAGTAATGATTACTATTCAGTTACTTTACCAACAATAATTAATCATAGCTTCAGGTGCTTTTTAAATATGGGCATTTAGATAGAACTTAAACTATTGCCGTATTGCAATAATAATAATAATAAACATTTGATATAGCGCCCTATCTAGCTAGAATTATTTACTCTAAAGCGCTTTATAGTACACAGCTATTTACTTTATACAACCAATACAATTAGCATATTTATCAAATCGATACAACTTTGAGGAATTCGCATGAGCTGCATTATCAGTCTAACTACTAGTCCTATGCCACCTGGCTAATGTATCCCTATGTGTGTATGCCTGCGTGTGTACTGGAGATGTAATGTGTAATCAATAATTGAAACAGTAATTCCGATGGTAAGAGCCCGCGGTCTTTATATAAATAATTATATCCGATATCATACAACATTTAAATGTCTGCTCTAACGTCAACCAGTGTCTCTTTAGATTATACAGTATTACTTCACGTTTGAATCCAAGGGAGCAATGTTATCGGCCACAAACGAATAATATTAATTCACAGACTTGACTGAAATTATGCAATCGAACAAAATATACTTGATTCTATCGATCTCCTTGTGTGTGATTTGTTCGACCACAATTACATGTAAAAAGTCAAAAGTACAGATAACAATATATAATGTTCCTTAAGAGTAGTATATATGTCATAGTGTAAGATTATTTTATAATGTTACAGTGAAATACAGAGGGTCTTTGCGCTATACCACTCTCAAATGTTATCAACAAATAAAACAAGAATACCATTTAACAAACTAAAAGAATATTTAATGAATTATAAAATACAAAACGAGGGAATGTGCACTTTCCTGTACACAAACAAAATGCAAAATAAACAACAACAAGGATCGTTGTACGACAGACGGTATCATACCTTACAACAGAACACAGTGTCCCATCCGTCACTTAATACACATGGAATGTTCCACTTGATTTTAGCTATTTCAAAACGTTTGCGTCCACTGGCTAAAATAATTATATAAATATAAACGTCACTCAAGTCGAAAACGAATATAAATCCGAATATTTAAATCATATAGAGTACCAAAGATTCGCCCGGTTCACATATCCGCAACAATGTAACTGTCATCCATAATTCTCAGATGTTTTCATTTTTTTAAAAAGGCATTTAAATTATTTACAATACTGTACAGATGACACGCACATCACATAAATACGAAGTCAGTGTAGGTGTTACCTATTTTCACAAGGGCTTGAGAAGTTCGATGGGAACGAAGCGCTCCTTCTTAGCCACAACTTCGCGGGGGGCTGGGGCCTCGATGCTGAGTACGCCGTCGGCTGAAAGCGAAGAAGTCAATGCCAGAGGGTCAACAGCCTTCGGGAGAGTGTATGACTTCGTGAATTCACGGTAAACCGACGTTTCTGCTGTCTTCTCTTCATGCTTGGCGTGTACAGTGAGCATGCTATCCACCGTCTTGATGTGAATGTTTTCCGGTTTGTATCCGCTTACATCAAAGGTCAAAGATAATTTTTTACTTCCGGATCTGCTTTCAACATATGGCTGTTCGACCTTCAACACCGGGTCCCCGTCAAATCGGAACATACTTTTCCTCATGCTTTCTAATTCCATATCAAATTTTCCGAAATCGTTGTCAAATTCCGTGCTTATGTCTGAGAACATTGATTTTTGCCGATCAAAAAAATTCCAGTCGAAAAATCTGGTCGGCACCAGTCTTCCACCACCGATACCGGCTCCCATGAGGGAATCACATGCACCCAGATTCCCCATGCCACTGTCGAATTTTGAATTTGAGCTCTTCATCGTTGTGGTTGAGCTCATGGAAGTTACAGAAGAGCCCATGGTCCCGAACTCCTTATCCATTGAGCTCATTTCCGGGAAATTGTTGTCGAAAAAATCGCTTTTCAAAAGATCCATCTTGGAGCTTAATGAAGAATTCAATCAATAACTGGAAAAATGGTCTTCGGGTTACTGCAGTGTTCACCAATATATGTAAAAATGATGCTGGCTAGCTGCGCTGATGTACATATAATTACCAACGAGATGCGCGCGTTGTCTGTTAGTATGTATACACACTACGCGAGCACGTGCAGTACAACCCCTGTTTATCTAATCTGATTTGATCGCCCGATCGCTGGAGTTTGATACTTGATGCCTGTTTGGAGCCCTATTTATACACAGCGAACGCTACGAAACGAACTTAGTGGGGATTCCTTTTGACTCATCCCTCATAGGCTATTTTGGGTAGAACAACACTCATTGGAGAAATGCGCCACACTTAAGATGTAAACAACTGGGGCAGTCAAGGGGAGCTTTTCCCTATTTAGCGTAATCTTTAACATTCGTGACGAAAACATTTAAATCATGTGCGGATAACCTGATTTAAATACAATCCTATCTTAACCGTTTCTTTTACTCTTACAATTGATATATCTCTTTGAAGAAATATGTATCGGACGTTATCAATCTATGCATGTAGCGTCTCTATAGATCTACGTACGTCCCCTGTTTGAGGCCCAACACCATCATTGTCTGATGTGTTTTGCACTCTATTAACGTTATTACACAAGGCTTAACTATATGGCTTGTCTAATGTTATGTCTTGTATCAGATATAGCGCGGGTTCGTACATAATGACAAATCTCCTCCGAAACCCCGAGGAATTTGGAGGGTGGAGTACTAAACAGAGCAGGCCTTTTGAAGATTGTATGTTGATCAGGTGTGTAAGATGCAAAAAAACGTTATAATGGAATGACTTATAACATAGAGAATGTGTGTCTAGTTAAACAGGCATGCTAATTATTTTCTTCTATAAACAATTTTATAATTTTGTATGACTGACCGTTCCTTGCTTCTATTTCGTGCAATAAACACGTCCCTTTGTACCGAAGGCAATTATGGTTTCACATTCAATAGTTAATGTGATGATAAGTGGTGTTATGTAACCAAAAGTGGTGTACGTTATGTGAAGTTCCACGGTATTATGTGACAATCAGTGGTGTTATGTGTTTTAAGACGATCAGTGGTGTTATGTGTCCATTAGAGGTATTATGCGACGATCAGTGGTGTTATGTGACGATCAGTGGTGTTATGTGACAATCAGTGTTGTTAAGAGGAATTATGTGACGATCAGTGGTGTTATGTGACGATCAGTGGTGTTATGTGTCCATTAGTGGTATTATGTGTCCGTCAGCTGTGTTATGTGACGATCAGTGAAGTTATGTGTCCATTAGTGGTATTATGTGACAATCAGTGGTGTTATGTGTCCATCAGTGGTTTTATGTGACGATCAGTGGTGTTATGGGTTCGTCAGTTGTGTTATGTGACGATCAGTGGTGTTATGGGTCCGTCAGTTGTGTTATGTGACGATCAGTGGTGTTAAATGTTAATTAGTGGTATTATGTGACAATCAGTGGTGTTATGTGTCCATTAGTGGTTTTATGTGACAATCAGTGGTGTTATGTGACAATCAGTGGTGTTATGTGACGATCAGTGGTGTTATGTGACGATCAGCGGTGTTTTGTGACGATCAGTGGTGTTATGTGACGATCACTCGTGTTATGTGACGATAAGTGGTGTTTTGTGACGATCAGTGGTGTTATGTGACGATCAGTGGTGTAATGTGACGATCAGTGGTGTTATGTGTATGAGACGATCAGTGTTGTTATCTGTTATGTGACGATCAGTGGTGTTATGTGACGATCAGTTGAGATAAGATACGATCAGTGTTGTTATGTGTTTTGTGACGATCAGTGGTGTTATGTGACGATCAGTGTTGTCATGTGTTATGTGACGATTAGTGTTGTTATGTGTTATGTGACGATGAGTGTTGTTATGTGACGATCAGTGTTGTTATGTGTTATATGACGATCAGTGTTGTTATGTGTTTTGTGACGATCAGTGGTGTTATGTGACGATCAGTGGTGTAATGTGACAATCAGTGGTCGTTTGTGTCCATTAGTGGTGTTATGTGACGATCAGTGTTGTTATGTGACGATGAGTGTTGTTATGTGACGATCAGTGTTGTTATGTGACGATCAGTTGTGTTTTGTGACGATCAGTTGTGTCTGGTGACAATCAGTGGTGTTATGTGACGATCAGTGGTGTAATGTGACAATCAGTGGTCTTTTGTGTCCATTAGTGGTGTTATGTGACGATCAGTGTTGTTATGTGACGATCAGTTGTGTTTTGTGACGATCAGTTGTGTTTTGTGACAATCAGTGGTGTTATGTGTCCATTAGTGGTGTTATGTGACAATCAGTAGTGTTATGTGTCCATTAGTGGTGTTATGTGACAATCAGTGGTGTTATGTGACAATCAGTGGTGTTATGTGTCCATTAGTGGAATTATGTGACGATCAGTGGTGTTATGCGACAATCAGTGGTGTTATGTGTCCATTAGTGGTGTTATGTGACAATCAGTGGTGTTATGTGTCCGTAAGTGGTATTATGTGACAATCAGTGGTGTTATGTGTCCATTAGTGGTGTTATGTAGCAAATAGTGGTGTTATGTGTCCATTAGCGGTATTATGTGACGATCAGTGGTGTTATGTGTCCATTAGTGGAATTATGTGACGATCAGTGGTGTTATGTGTCGATCAGTGTTGTTATGTGACGATCAGTGTTGTTATGTGTCCATTAGTGGTGTTATGTGACGATCAGTGGTGTTATGTGTCCATTAGTGGTGTTATGTGACAATCAGTGGTGTTATGTGACGATAAGTGGTGTTATGTGACGATCAGTGGTGTTTTGTTACAATCTGTTATGTCATGTGACGATTCGTGGTGTTTTGTGACGATTAGTGGTGTTATGTGAGGATAAGTGGTGTTATGTGACGGTCAGTGTTGTTATGTGACGATCAGTGGTGTTATGTGTCCATTAGTGGTGTTATGTGACGATCAGTGGTGTTATGTGGCGATCAGTGGTGTTATGTGACGATCAGTGGTGTTATGTGACGATCAGTGGTGTATTGTGTCAATCAGTGTTGTTATGTGACGATCAGTGGTGTTATGTGACGATCAGTGTTGTTATGTGACGATCAGTGGTGTTATGTGTTATGTGACGATCAGTGTTGTTATGTGTTATGTGCCGATCAGTGTCGGTATGTGACGAGCAGTGTTGTTATGTGTTATGTGACGATCAGAGTCGTTATGTGTCGATGAGTGTTGTTATTTGACGATGAGTGTTGTTATGTGACGATCAGTGGTGTTTTGTTACAATCTGTTATGTCATGTGACGATTCGTGGTGTTTTGTGACGATTAGTGGTGTTATGTGAGGATAAGTGGTGTTATGTGACGGTCAGTGTTGTTATGTGACGATCAGTAGTGTTATGTGTCCATTAGTGGTGTTATGTGCCGATCAGTGGTGTTATGTGGCGATCAGTGGAGTTATGTGACGATCAGTGGTGTTATGTGGAGATCAGTGGTGTTATGTGACGATCAGTTGCGATAAGATACGATCAGTGTTGTTATGTGTTTTGTGACGATCAGTGGTGTTATGTGTTATGTGACGATCAGTGTCGGTATGTGACGAGCAGTGTTGTTATGTATTATGTGACGATCAGTGTTGTTATGTGTTATGTGACGATCAGAGTCGTTATGTGACGATGAGTGTTGTTATTTGACGATGAGTGTTGTTATGTGACGATCAGTGTTGTTATGTGACGATCGGTGTTGTTATGTGACGATCAGTGTTGTTATGGGACGATCAGTGGTGTTATGTGACGATCAGTGGTGTTATGTGGCGATCAGTGGTGTTATGTGTTATGTGACGATCAGTGGTGTTATGTAACGATCAGTGGTGTTTTGTGACGATCAGTGGTGTTATGTGTTATGTGACGATCAGTGTTGTTATGTGTTTTGTGACGATCAGTGGTGTTTTGTGACGATTACAGATGTAATGTGACGATCAGTGTTGTTATGTGACGATCAGTGTTGTTATGTGACCATCAGTTGTGTTTTGTGACGATCAGTGTTGTTATGTGACGATCAGTGTTGTTATGTGACGATCAGTGTTGTTATTTGACGATCAGTGTTGTTATGTGACGATCAGTGTTGTTATGTGACGATCAGTGTTGTTATGTGACGATCAGTGTTGTTATGTGACGATCAGTGTTGTTATGTGACGATCAGTGTTGTTATGTGACGATCAGTGTTGTTATGTGACGATCAGTGTTGTTATGTGACGATCAGTGTTGTTATGTGACGATCAGTGTTGTTATGTGACGATCAGTGTTGTTATGTGACGATCAGTGTTGTTATGTGACGATCAGTGTTGTTATGTGACGATCAGTTGTGTTTTGTGACGATCAGTTGTGTTTTGTGACAATCAGTGGTGTTATGTGACGATCAGTGTTGTTATGTGACGATCAGTTGTGTTACATCCTCAACCTCATTAAATTTTAGTTACAATAACCTTGTGTTTGGGTAAAAATATTCGGTGCCCGATTTAAATTTTGTTTTTCATATGATTTCCTATATAATTGTGTTGACGCTTTTAACGGTAGTAGAACCTCAAAGACATGTTATTTCAGTTACAATGACATTATGGTTTGGTAAAAAAAATCTGTAACAGTGTCACAAATTCTGGAATTTAATTTTTCAGATTATACATAAACGGTTGGGTTGATGGTTGTAGTCATGTCTGTCAAGGTTTGTGGCGGTTTTATATTCAGGATCCCTCATCTTTTGTTGTCTTTATACATCCTATAACTTAAAATACCATCACGATGTATCTATTTGTCATAATGTGGCATTAATTAATTACTGGCATTTGAACAAATACATGCTCATTTTCAACAAGACGTGTATTTATTTATTTATTTATTTATTTTTTTTTTATTTATTTATGTATTTCCAATTCAACAGACCCAAGGGTCCACTAACAGAATGGATAACAACATTACAACACAAGTATAAATTATCACAGTCAGTTATGCATGTAACACAGATACTCAAATGTAAAACAAAATGAATTAGTGATAGCAAATATTATTTAACCGTACTTTGAACTCGGCGAGAGAGAAACAAAACATATCACAGTCTGGTGCAAAATCAAGATAGTTAAAATTACATTGAATCCTGTTTAAAATACTATACTTTCTAACGTTTATCCTACTTCTCTGGCAGTAAAACTGGTTGAAACGAATTGATCGTAGATT